CGCGCCGATGCTGGATCTGGAGGTGGTGCCCGAGCGCTCTCTGGGCAACGAGCAATGGGAGTTCGCGCTCGGTAAGTGCCGCCGCCGCGGGGGGGCCCTTGGCCCCGTCCCTGCTCGGCCCCTCCGCCTCGCGCTCCCTCCAGCCCGGCCCGTCCTCCCCCACTGCTAGTGGTTAATTACTCCCGTTTGTTTATTAATCGTTATGGCTGTTTAATTGCTGTTTTCTTCCTCAAAACTTCCCCGGAGAGGCCACTCTCGTGATCCGGACGCCCGGTGTTGGGTGATGTCGGTACCGTTGGTGCCTGGATCATCTTGTGGGCTCCCTCGGGCCTCCCTTGCTGTAGGTAACGGGCGCCGTCCTGCCAGCCTGTCCCGCTCTGGATCCCTTTGGAAGGGGCTTCCCTCTCACCCTATCCATCCTCCTGTGCAGTGAGGAGGAAGCAGGACGTGTTCCAGGTGCAGATCCAGCTGGTGCCCGGCCCACAGCTCAGAAACAGAGTTGGGGTTTTGGTGGCAAAGCTTCTCCCAGCGATTTCATTCTCTGGCCTCTGCCGTTAGTCCCTCAAACTTTGGGATGTCCCTGCGGCTCTGCTGATGCCCGCGCACTCCATCTGGCCCTTGGCTCCCCGAGTCGCAGCCCTTCCCCGTGGCCGTTCCTCCGCCTGGCGCGTGGCTGGGAGATGCTCCCTCGTGTAGACGGGGCGGCTGCTCGGCTCTGCTCCTGCTGCCACCCTGATCCCCTGCGACGGCGAGGGGATGGGCTCTGCACTCAGAAACCTGCCCCAGGACCAGGCTGCCTGGGGGCCCTCAGGCCGGTGCTTGGTGTGAAACCCGTCTGGTGGCCGTTTGCACCATGGCAAGTTCAACCAGGTTGGTAATGGGAGCACTAGAAAGGCTCAGGGAGGCTAATTATAGCACCTCGCTCCCACCCTCTGAAATCCTGGGGTTCCCCCTTGCAACTCTGCCTGACCTCCCAGGAGCCTTTATTATTGCCCCAAACTCCATGCCCTGCCCCGGCGATAAGTGTGTAGCACTGCCTCACCCTCCCCTCCTCCTTATGAAAATAAAGAGACAATTCTCCTTCTTCCCAACAGCCTCGTTAGTGCAACCTCATGCTTAAAATTACATCCCGTGCCTGTGCGTGTGCACACGCGTGCGTGGACGCGCGCGGGAGGAAGCTTGGTGCGATTCCCCGAGTAAACAGAGCCGCCACGTGACGCGGCTCGTGTATAATTAGCTTGACCTGCTCACGGAGGGAGCCCCGGAGCTGCCGCTGGCTCCTGGTCCCCGACCCGTGGTGGAGATGACTGAGGGGAAATGCCAGGAAAATTTTTTCCATGAGTTTTTCGATTCTGTTTCTGGCTCCAGCTTTGACTCACAATGTGACCAGAGCATAAAAAAATTAGCCAAGGCCGAGTTTTGTGTTCAGACACCTGTGTTGCTGCCACCTCTAATCCTGCAGTTTTAAAGAGGGAGAACAATTAAATACTCGTTTCGCGCTGCCTGTGGCTATGTTATTAGCAGGAGATGCAGTTACAGTTCCCAAGACGCATGTACGTTTCTCTTGCTTTTTATACTTTCTTACCAAGTTTCACTCCTTTTTTATTTAATGCATTGCGAGACCTTTCGCACTATACTCCTTTTTCTTTTTTGCTCTTCCCCTTCAAGACACGCAGTCAGAGAGGTAAAACCTGAAGACATGGTGTTGGACGTGTGACCTGTCAGCCGAGTATCGAGTTATCCCCCTAGTATCTGGGGAAGGGGATGCCAGTCACAGCAGGGAGCTACAGCCAACTCTTTAGGGTTTATTTGCGGTTGTTCGGTTTGGCCGCCTGTGTGTTTGGTTGGAAAATGTGTTCCCCTTTCCCGGTCCCCCCAAGTGGTCAGGGAGAAGAAGGGCCCTTTGTCTCCTCTGGCCACGGAGGAGAAACCAGTGCTTGCATGTGCGCACATGAGAAGGGTGGAGAAAACTCACCTGTTTCCTTTGCTGCTGCTTTGGCTGTCTGCTAACAGAGGTGAATGGAGGGAATTGGCTCTTCCACCAGTGTTTTAGATTCTTTCAACTCATTTTGGAGAACTTGCATCACTATTCCTAGCTTGGCTGAGCAGTCAGGGACTAAAATCCTGACGGATTCTCATTTGGGGAAAGCTGAACAGAGTCAGTCCGTGTCCATTTGCTTGCTGGGGGTGAGAGCCCCGTGCGCTCCGTGTTTGCGCGCTCAGGAGCCCCGCGCTGCCGCAGGCTCCGGACGGGGCTCGGTGTCCGCGCGCGCTTCCCCCGCCGTGCGCGACGTGCTCAGAACGCTGCCCACCGTGGCCATCGCCACGGGTTGTGTAAGTCCCTTCCCTTGGTTTGCTCAGCCAAAAGCTGCTTGGTTTTTACTGGAGTTAACGTCCTCACCCCTGCAGCTCTCCGGTTGGCTTTGAGAATGTATCTTGGGCACCGAACTATTAAAAAGTACTCTGGATTTTATGCTTGAAATAACTTATGCTTTTTTTTCCTCTTCTTATCATAGTTTTCACTAGGTTATGAGATATGCGCCATCTCACAGGAGCATCTTTGATCTTAACCTCACGCGGTTATTTATGTTTCTGTTCTATTTTGAAAATACCAGCTAATACCTAATCCTCGTCTACTTGGAGTGCACTCGGAGACTGCGAGGCAGCTGCTGTTTCCTGGATAATGGGAAACAGTGCTGCCTTGCTGGGTGGCTCTGTGCGTTTTAATTGTGTTAGTGTTATTACAAATTCAGAAAGAATACTTGTTTTGTCATCCTGTGGTTTGCAATTTCCACTCACAAAATTTTTTCATGTTAAATCCTCAAAGCCAGAGGAGTATGTTGTGCGTGTATGTATATACATGTATACATACATATATAAATTTAAAATGGGGGTGGGCTTGGTCCTGCACGCAGTGTTTAAAAGGTGCTTTGGAACATGATGGGCAGTCTGTGTAACCAAACCTTTGGACAGCTGAACTACCATTAAATAAAAACATAGGCAAATCTTTCTAACAAGGGCAGTTTGTTTAATGTTTAAAAACTAGAAATAGAAAAGGGGAAGGAATGTAAATAAAATGTGAGACATCTAAATCGACTTGCAGCAATTAATATAGAAACAAAATTTTGAAATTGTGAGCTCATGCTCTCACTTTATAAATGTCAAATTTGAATCCAGGAACCTGATCCCATTTCATTTGGAAAGTCAACAAAGGTTTAACAGTGTGAAAGGGGGTGTTATGACGGGTGCTGTTCTTTCTGTCAGCTGGTTTACTCCAGCTCCATATTGTTTGTCCATTTACTCCATACCAAACTGTACAGGTGTAAAGATAACATACAGATAACATAATATCCTTTTAAGTTGTATTAGAAGGTGGAGAGTAATGCTGTGTTATTTCAGTTAAACCAAATTGCGTAACATGTGTATCTTGACTTGTTCTTCTCTGTCAAAGGTGATGTTCAGTTGCTCTTAGAAAACCCGTGCACATATATTGAAGGAACAGTGTAAACTGAGAATATAAAATTCACCCTTCCTTGATGCAGCTGTGCTACATGAGCAAGTAATTTGATCTATTAAGTCTAAGCAGAATCATTACTTCATTTTTATGTATGTCGTATTTTTATTTACTGTGTTCAGTGACTCAGATGAATAATCTTGACCACAGCATATGCTATGCAGGTGACCCAGGTGCCTATTGAATGTGTATGAGCTTGCTCATCAACTCAAGTGGCTTTTGCTACAGGCTCTTTTCTAAACTACTGCATTTATGGCCTTCCCCCGCCAAAGCAGAAAATTGTGTGTGTGGACTGCAGAAAGACCTGTGCTTTCCTACCCAGACTTTTCTATTTAATGTTGTTTCTAGCAATTATTTTCTTTCATATATGTGCCTAACAAGCTGGTGGGCGGGTAAACAATGGCATTTTTATTCCAGAAAACAGGTTTGTGCTGCTCCTATGAGTCAAGGAGGTTTCTGCCCATCGCATACCTTTGTGTCGCAATTGCCTGTGTGCGGATGAGGACTCTTATTGCCACATCTGTAACCTTGCTGTCGAAAAAAATACTGTGAGCTCCGTCTGGGCGCTGGGGCAATATGGCTGGTTTTTGTTTGGGGCATCGGCGTGATTGTAGCGATTCTTCAGAAACACTGTCGCATTATCAAAAACGTCCAGGTTCTCTACAGTGAGCAGGTGAGTCGCAGACGAATTCGGGCAAGTCGCTGAACTTGGCGGTGTTCAAATATTACCATGTCCTGGGGGATCTTGGCACTGTGTCGTGCTGACGTGCTGGACAAATTGCGGGGGTACTGGGAGGTGAATGACACAAATAATTGCCACCCCATGAAAGATGTGGGTTTTATAGCACTTTCGCATCGCCTATAATAATCCCCAACACAGTACAGTGATTTAACTGGTATCAGTTTATAAGTATTGTGCTGTGGTTGTTTTTCCTTTAGGAAAGGAAATGTTCTGCAATTAGCTGGATGATTTAATTCTCGTCTTGTTTACATTATCATTGTCAGGCGTTGCACTATTTTTGAGGTACTGAATCACTGGTTACTCTCTGCTTTCATGCTTGATTCAGTGGTGATGAACCCACTGAAAATGCCTCCACTCCTCCTGTCTGGGTCTGCAATTCTGTCTGTAAAAGCAGTTGCAGTAATTTAAATCAGCTAGATGTTTTAATCAACTTCATGATTAAAATGGCGCTTTTGTGTAGCTGCACAAAAGTTGCTAATCTATTTGAGTTCCATCAGAACCATGATCAGAAGTGAAGCTTTTCTGCTAGATCAAACAAAATGTATTATATATCCACCTTAACTGGGAAGAAAGTAGAAGGGGAGATGGGACAAAACAGACCTCTGGCTTTCCAAATAGGAATTTTGTCAAATGCTTGTTAATTGGGTTAATTGGGTGGTGGGTTTTCTAGATTAGAGATTGTTCATTGAGAAAAAGACAAAGTCTGTCAATAAATTCTACATCAAAATACCGTTAGAGGTCTTGTCATTTGCTGCTCTCTACAAACAGGCAAGGAACAAGCTCAACTCTTGAGTTTTGCTGCCAGCTACATATTTCATCTAATTAAATGTTGCATACTTTCTTAATTATGTAGATTTATGGTTTTCCTACTGACTGAATATTTAGTTTGCAAATTGAAAACGTAGCTCCTTGAGTTTAATAAGTGGGTCTATCAGTCTGGCAGTGAGTGCGCCCCTTGTTTTCTCTGCTACTGTAGTTTTTCTCCTTCCCAGCTTTTCTGATTGCAGCCTGTTGCTGACTGATCTCTAGGTTTGTTGAGTGAGATTCATGTTTCTCAGTGATTTATGCGGTGACAGAAGGATTAACAGCCCAGTGCTAGAGCGATGGTACACCACTGCTGGGCTTTCTAGGCCTCTGTGAAAGATTGAAAGGTACATAAATATAAAGATGCTTTTAGCATCTATATGACCTAAAAAATAGGTGGTCTCAGTTCTGTGGAATAGATGTGTTGATGTTGTTTTTGCCTTCTATCAGAGCTGTTATTTGCCCGTGCCCCACAGGGCCTGCTGCTCGTTGCCTGGCTGTCTCCTCGTTCCTGTGCAGAGCATCAGGCCCTGTGCTGGGCCCAGAGCCCGTTGCTGATGCAGTGTTTGAAAGATTCAAAACTTTAAACAAACTTCGTCTGTCACGAGTTGTTTACACCTGAACTAGACCTGAACAGCCCTGCATGTCTTTCCTGTTTGGGTTCTAAAAGAATGTGTTTGAGCATAAATGATCAAATGTCATTTAAAGCTGTTGCATCTAAAGTCTCTGATTCTGGAAATCTCACAGCGAGCAATTCCTTTCAAACATGTATGTATGACAGTTACATGCAATTAGATTTGCCCACAGATCTTTTTCACTTGCCAGAAATTGGATGCCTAAATTGTGCTAAAACAGCCCTAATGAACCAATACCTATGACAAGTGCTTTAACTTCTCTCTTTGGTCAGTTTAAATGGGAATTGGCATTTATATCCTTTGCTAAATCTGTGCCTCTGGAATTGTATCAATGGGATTGTCACGGCATAAGGTTATTTTCCTGCAGCTTTGTGCAGAGCAGTTCTGTAACTGCACATGTGGATTCCTTCCCTTAGGAGTGACTCTCCCAGTGCTCCCTGGCGTCTTCCTCTTGTACATGGAGTTCTGTTTTGTACATCAGCAGTCACCTGAGCTTCACATGTGCCTTTGAACCTCCTCTCTTGGCATAAACTCTGCCAGTGTAGAATAGGAGCCCTTGGCTGTAATCGTGGTCGAGCTTTTCCTCGGGTGTTTTCTTCTTTTCCAGCCTCTCAGAGGTACTTGTTGTGTTCCCATTACCCTTGCAATAACTTGCTGTTGTGCAAGATGCTGTGAAGGTTTCCTTTAGCACAGAGCCTGCAAGTCTGGGCACCTGTGTTCGAGGAAGATGAGGTCAAACTGAACCAGGAAGAGCTGCTGGAGAAATACAGGGGAGTGGAAGATGTGCAGCGCAGGAGATTGCTAAGTCAAACCAGGCTGCAGAGCTTTGGGTGTGAGGTGTAGGATCCGATTATCCAGTAGGTGGTTTGGGAGGAGATGGGAGTCGCACGTGAGAAGGCACCGAGGGTGCCTGCCAGGGCTAGATGACAGGGCAAGAAGGGGTGATTGTCAGCGAGGAGATTTAGGGTGGAAAATGAAATTTTGACTATCAAAACACAGGCCTTCCAGCGGACCGAAGCAGGGAGTAGGTGTTTTTAAGGTAGCTTGTGTTTAATTCGTAAATGGCCCGTGTGATGTGGTCGCTTACATTAGAAGCCTGAGTGTGCTCCAGCTGTCCCGTTCCAGGTGCTTTTTGCCAGAGAGCCTCTCGGCGCAGTGCTTGGGCACGTCTGGTGTTACCTGCCTCTGTTCAGCCCCTTCCTTCTCTGAGGAGACAGTTGTGGAGGGCAGAGCTTATGGAGCAGATGTGCTCCAGAGAGTGCCTGATGAAACAGGACTGATGCTGGGCTGGGGTGCAGAGGAAGGAGGTTGCACAGAGCCTGTGCAGATGCCACCAGAGCCAGGGCAGTGTCTCCTATTGGCCCCAGCTGGCTGCAAATCCAGGCTTTAGCTGTTCTGATTCACAATAACTAAGGAAACCTGAATTTGCAACCTAATGCTTAGAAGACTTCATTTTTAGCCCTGAAAAGGAGGTGACACCCTTTTGTGTTTGGAGTACCCTCTTGCCTTGCTTTTGTCAAGAACAGGCAGGCTGTGATGAGAGGCTTTGGGACGGGCTCTTACTTTTGTGTGCCAGGAATGCACCAGCCTGTCCCTACCTGATGGCTCTACAGGATGCTCAAGATGGAGTGTTATTTTGTCTTCTCTTCCCGTTCATGTAATGGCCAGGGTCTTGCAGGCAGCACATCTTACAGGGGCACCTCTTTTGCATAAGAAACCTGCCTGGGTGGGGAGCTTTGGCCAAATGTATTTAGGTTGTGCTTGTTCACAGAAGAAACAGTTGTTTTCTGAGGGAGTTTTGTTTTTCCCAAATAAACTGCACAGTGATAGTTACCTTAACACAGAAGCCTTGAAATTAAAAGCCTAACAGCTTTTTTATTATTATTTTTCAGTCACCTCTTAGCCATGACCTCATCCTTAACCTGACTCAGGATGGAATCAAACTGCTGTTTGATGCTTTCAATCAGAGACTTAAGGTAAATGACCCTCCCTGCATAGCAGACAAGAGTATGTTGTTACCTAATAGACTGTAATTATTATAGAGTCTTTTTTATACATTTAATTTGCCACATTTATTGCTCTTTGATGTAATGAACTGCATGCCTTTGAGGATTAAATTTGGATGTATAGTATATGTCTTACTGAGCACAAGAATCCGTTACAAGTATAATGATCCACTGTCATCTCTCTTACCCATACACATTGTAGCCTACGCTGAGAAAGGCCCTTACTAAAGCCAGTCAGATCATCAGTTAATGTACACTGGATAGTGGTGGTTGTTGGCTTTGCCCCAAGTTGTGCTTTTAGTGGTGCTGCCGTTTTGTTTTGGAAGAAAACTTCTTCCTGTTCTTAGTTTTCAGTTATTGTTGTAATTGACTTAGAAGGCCTTGTAGGAAGCCTTGTAGACCCAAAGAATCTGCCAGGGGACTATCAGTATTGCTAAAAAGTTCTGCCCTCCTCTGCAAAAAGGAGAGAAAACTTGTGTGTAGTCCCTCTGCTTACCTGCACCAGCAAAAGCAATGCGGAGATGCAGCATAAATCCTGGACCAAGTACTAAAACCATAATATTACTATGAATTTTGACAATATTCTCTTCAACACACATTTTCATTCTCTCAAGTAGAGAAAGAATTACAGTTCACAGTGTTCTTTTGCTGTTGCTGGTTAGTAGATACCTGCACATTTCTGAGTCTTGCTAAGTGATAATTGAGATGGTGATTGTAGCAAAATGTCAGTTTTTGACTCATTTAAATCAACTGCCTGTTGTGTTTTTGGTAGCTTCACTGCTGAATGTGCCTTAGCCTTCCCACTTGTTTGCTCCCCTGCACTTAGTCCTCAACTCAGTGTAGCTTCTGCAGATAAAAAAACAAATCCAATCATAGTGTTCTGGGCTGCTGCAGTGTTTCTTCTGTGCATTTGTCTTTCGTGATTGTTATGAGGCCTTTTGTCTATTTTAAATTTTGCTAAATTGCGCTTGTCTTTTTTTTTCCCCTCCTTTGTGGTTAGTAAAAAGAATTGTTGACATGAATAGATCTTCAGTCTGAGTTGTGGGAAGAGGGCTCGTGGCAAATTGGTGCTTGTTGGCTGCTCGCAGTGTGTTTCTCTCATGTGGGACCGCATTTACGCAATGAACTGTTCTTAGTTAACTGCTTTCTTGCTTTCTTTGTGTTTCCCAGTCCTTTTCCACCACGGCCACGTGCTTTAGCCAGGTGTGCTCCAGCACAGGAGACCTGATAGTCTCTAGAAATTGCAGCAAAGCCAGCCCTTTATGTGGGATGATTTTTCTCTGTTTCCTGAAACACTTTCTGGTGAGCCAGTGGGGGAAATAGTACATACAGTGTTAGCTTAAAAGGGGGAAAGTAAGGAAGATCATGCCTAGCTTTGTATAAATGTGGCATTTTCTTTAGCCAGCCGAGCAGTACAGGAAAATGAGACATGTCAAACTGCATTTGAATTTAAAAAAAGGATAACTAGTTTGGATAACTATTTTTTTTCCTAAGAGGCATAATTTAAAATATGTTTGTGAAGAAGAAATATTTGCTTGCCCTTCTTTGTTGGTTTTGTCAGACCGTTAAGTTGTTGCTTGTTTTGTGCTGTACTTGCTGCTCGTATCCTGAAGTGTGTGGGCTTTCTTAGCAAACCAGAAGTGCTTCAGAAAACTCTTCTAACTTTTTATGAGTCAACAGCGTACCATTAAATGTTAATTTTTATACAGCGGTTTGAACATTGCAAGTATTTTTATATAAGGGCATTTACCAGACATCTCCCAGAAACAAGACTTCCTTTTAGCTGGTGGTATTTTTAGGCTTTAAAGCCACATTGGCAGCAGCTCCCTGGGGAGTTCTGCCTTGCTGTCTGGTTGAAGAGTGAGTGCTTCTTAAATTTGTCAGGGATGTGTTGGAGAATTATCCAAAGCAAGAAAAAGCTCTTTTCCTTTCCTTTACAGCAGTTACGATGCTTTCTTCGTGGTTTCATTTTCCTGTTGATATAGGAACACCTATGCAGGGTGGAAAAAGTCTTAGGTTTGACCATGTTGGTTCCTCAAAATAACCTGGGTGGTTCCCAGTCTGGCCTCAGGATCCAGTTGCAGAGTTGTATTAAAAGTCACGTGAACCCGGTCTCAGTTGCAAGTTTGCAGTGATGCCCCTGGCACGAAGGATTCATGCGTAACACCAAATGTAGTGAGGGGAGTTCCCTGGAATAGTCAATAATGTGTAAAATATATATATATATATTAATTGAACATCAGAACTAGATATTACAACTTGCTCCAAATCCTTGTGGGCTGCTCTTACGATCATTTCTGCTTAGACGTATGACTAGGTGTCTTTTTATCTCGTAATAGTGCTTAGTTTTGTTGCGTTCATCTTCTTTGGAAAGAGTTGGAATGTGTAACGTGCAGTCAGCACAAGGACTTACTTTCCCCCAAAGACTGTGTTCAGTGTAAAGAGAGCAACCCAAGCAGTGGACAGTGGTTGGGTTTTGTTAGAGACTCCCCTAATTAGCTAATTTGCTATTACTTGCTTTTGCACTTGCTTAAGAGTCATCCTAGCAGAAGCCAAGTTGCTGATGTGTTAGCAGAAAGATTAATTTCTGCAGATCAGTGCTGCTGATATACACAAAGATTTGGAATTACTGCACTGAAGCCTTGAGTCTTCTGCAGTTCTTGCTTTAGATGTGCATCTACTGAGTCACTTTTCAGAGTTCCATTTCTGTCAATATGTTTTTTGTTTAACAGAGTTCCTTGGGGAAGGGACTTGAGCAGCACCAGCTAATTTTGTCTTTGAACAGGTGTTTGCCTCTTGTTATGATTCACAAATGCTTGAAGTATGGTGATGTTTCTATTTCCTGTGTTTCAGGTGATTGAAGTTTATGACTTGACTAAGGTGAAGTTAAAATATTGGTAAGTGATTAAGACCTCTTGTGATCTCTCTTTCATTAGGATCTGTGATTTTTCTTTTTCTTTTTTCTTTTTTTTTTATCCTGAATTCATTTTTTCTTTCATTCTTGTTAAGAAAACAATTTAATGGTCAGAAAGAACAAATGTAGGTGCCTTTCTTGCACATAGTACTTGGTTAGATTATCAGTTTACTCTTCCCTTTCTGGCTTAGAGATTTCCTACTTTTAGTGCAGTATTGCTGTTTGTAAACACATGCAGCATCTATTCAGTACTCTAAGGTAGGCTAATTAATTTTCTTTTTCAGTGGTGTCCATTTTAACTCTCAGGCAATCGCTCCAACCATAGAACAAATTGATCAGTCATTTGGAGCAACACATCCAGGAGGTAAGGCAGACTTTTTCTGAGAATCTGGAGTACACCTTGATTGATAGTTTTTCTAGAGAAAACAATTTCCTCTACATCACCATAGAAAAATGTGTGGGGACTTGTGTTGTCAGATGCTTTGAAACTGTGTTCCAAAATGGTCACAACCTTATAGGTAGGTTTTCTCATAAAATGTATTGTAAATTGAATGGTGGTGGTGTGTAAGCGAACCAGCGAGGCACATGGTCGTTGACCCGCAGAGTGCTATGCTCACATACCATTAACGATCTGTTTTCAACTGCCAGTGCCCAGGAAATCCTGAACTTTGTTGTTGGTGCTGTTGTTTTCACACGTTCTTGTGCGGGGTCTGCTCTCGAGTGCCCTTGGGGGCAAAGTATACCCTGAGCCTAGAGCCCTTTAGCTGAGCTGCACGCAGAGCCCACCGGGGCCGTGAGCTCTGGCTTCAGGCACCAAGGATGTGACTGCAGCACCGCAAGGACTGCAGCCTCTATGAGCACATGTGTGACTGCCTCCTTTCTGCTACTGGGAGCATGGAGCCGGAAAACTGACATAACAAGAAGGAGAAGGTTAACTCCGTATAGGCCACGTAGCAAGATACCATTTTTATAGCATCTTTTTCTGTTTTTGTCTTAACTTGGTCCGTTTGTAATAGTCTGATCCCAAATAGTAGCTTGCTGTGTGATTGATGGTAATTGCATATCCGTCCCTGTGCCTGTTCTCTGCAGGCAATCTCTTGCACATCACAGAACAGGATTTATTAACTGTGGAGGGTCATTTGGCTAAAGTAATTTGGCATAAAAGCCTGCTATAGTAGTTGAGCATCAGATTGAGATAAGTGGAGGTTGGAAGTTTTCTAGCTATAATTCTCCAAGGAGCAGAATTAGCCTTCTTAAGTTTTGCTTCATCATGATCTTAAGCTTTCCTCCTGGATGGATGCTTTGAGGTCTATAGCAGAACTTAGGCAAAGTAAAAGTGGTCCTGTATCCCAAACAAGTTTTAACTTGTTCAGCGTTTGTTCAGTTTCCTTGCTGAAATTCGGTATCTTCCACTAATGGCTTAGTTGGCCTAAATAAATGCTTTGTACAAAGCAGTCTCATGACTATAAATTGAGTTTCCACTGTGTCATGCAGTGCAAGGTTTTGGTAAGTGTTTTCTCTGTTTTCTAAAGCAACAAAAACAAAAAACTTTTGAGCATCTGTGTCCCACCAGAATTTCATATCGGAGAGGGGAGGAATGTGGGGTGAGGAACTGTTCTCGTCTCTAATGTGACCAAAATCCTGAACATCCAGTTTTATGAATGAAAATGAGACTAGACCATCTGTCTCCTTCTACCCACTGCTAGTCCCCCCCAAAACTACTCATCTTTTCCTTCTACCCCTCCAAGAAACAACCAAGCACTACAATTTCAAAAGTATTTGTTGTGTGTGTGTTTTGTTGTTGTTCCATCTCGGTGCATTATACCTACTAGAGTTTCAAAGCAAGATGTCTTCTTTCACTTAAACTCAAGGTGATTATAGCAGATCCTTCCTGTAACAGGATAAAACCTGAGTTTCAAAACATTTCAGAAGGTTGGGTAATTTATCTTTGCGACTGACCTTCAGCAAGCAGTTCTAGTTTTGCCAAATTGGTGGTTTAAAACAGAAGAGTCATCAGAAAATTTGCAGCCAGCTTCTTTGCTTTCCAGCTAACATTAGTTTGAACCATTGCAGCGTCTCTGTGGTAGAGCTGAACCCCGTGATTGAAGCTTGCTTGCTCTTGAGGTCAGTAGCTTCATCAAAGCCAATGTTTCCTCCCACTTTTCCCTCCTCCTTCCATGAGTCTGTCACTGACCTCACGCTGGGAAGTGTTGGCTTCTGCCAGTGGTTCTGTTGAAATCACATCCTGTGCTGAATTCCCATAAACGTGGCTGTTTGCCTAAGTGCCGTTCAGCGCGAGGAAGGGCTATGGAATTGGGCTGAGGTTGCTACAGAGGAGAGAAAAACATCAGCAGTTACTTCCCGATGGAAAAGGCAGCTCAATGCAGCTAAGTGTGAAGCTTTAAGTGAAGTTATAGGAGGGGATATTTTTAGCAACCTTGGTTTGCCCCTCTCAATTATATATCTTTTTTTTTTTTTTTTTTTTGATGGGGTGTAGCCACCAGGTTGCAGCCGTTGAGCAGAGTAACACTGATGGGATTGGGCAATAAATCAGAAAGATATCAAGGCTTGATCATGTTTGCTCACGTGCTGGTGGCATACAGTCCAGGGGGGTAAGTGAGAGGGCTTCCTAGGAAGGAAAACATTCCTTGCCCCTTCAAGCCTAAACATCACCAAACATTTTGGGGGATGAGAATGATGTGATTTGTATAATCAGATACCACACTGGGCATGACTAGGGGAAAAACACGTCTCCAGCTGGCTGTGGGCTTCGGAAAAGATGCATCACAGTTTGTCACATGAGAGGGATTTGTGTAATTTTCCTGCCGATCAAAACATTTCCCTCTCCCCACGCTGTCTCCTCCAAGTGACAGGCAGGGAAAATGCTCTTCAGCACATTGAAAAAGGCAAAGGATTTCTAAAAGCTTGCACTTGAGCAAGTGAATAGCAGATGGACCTCCCCTATGAAGGTACAGGCAGTTTGGAAGCAGGAATCAGTATCATTTGATTATTTTCTTTCCTTTTTCCCATTTACTGTACTGGACATCATCCAGATCTTTTGTGACGTGTTCTAGGCACTTAGGAGGCATTTTGTAAGCAATAGTGAAGTGCATTTTCTGGGTGTAAAGATAAGCTGTTTCGTATTTTTAAATATAAACCTTTATGATTAAAAAAAAAAAAAAAAAAAACTTTGGTGAAGTGGAAGTAAACAGTGTCTCTTGTCTGAGTGTTTTTTGCCTCGGCTGTTTTGAATGAAGCGGCTCCGGCCGGGAGCCCCGGGTTCCACTCGGCAGCTCCTGAGGACAGATCAGAATTAGGTAGCGTCAGTTCCCAAACTGTGCCCGGGATGGGAGCCGCCAGGGGTTGTTTCTAAGCAACCTCACAAAGTTTTGTCTTGTTAGAGTGAAGACTGAGCTGCTGAGCACAGATGATGTTGTACAATTTATTACAGTAAATCAGGACATCTCGTTGCGTGTGATGACAGATAGAGGCCTGTTCATCCTTGTTCTTTGTAAAAGCTGGCTTGTGTCGGGGTAGTATTTTTAGTAATCATTAAGATGGCCTAGGATCTGTTGCATGAGGCCTTTCTTTTCTTGTACCATATTGCTCAGCAGAGCAGCTGGTCAAACCTGGGGCGTGCAGGCTGGCCGTCCGCTCTGGAAAGGGGTGCCGAGGACTTGGGATGGGCATCACGTTAGCTTGAAATTAATATTGTAGGCAGGGCCGTTTGGAAGACTCTTTGGTAAATATTGTAGCAGTGAATGAACAGAAGAATGAGCAGAACTGTCTGTAACTTTTTTTTTTTTCCTCTTCCCTTTCAGTGTATAATTCAGCTGAACAACTCTTTCACCTCAATTTCCGAGGACTGTCGTTTTCCTTTCAGCTAGACTCATGGACTGAAACTCCGAAGTACGAGGTCAGGAATCATTCCTAGTTAATAGATAGTCTTTTTGCCTCTGCGATGCTTGCAAAATATCGTCTGGCCTGCAAGCAAAAGAAACCAGTAATTTGGAAGGAATTGAAATCCTCAGTTGTTCTCTCATTTGTGTTATATAAGCGTTTTAAAGCCCAAAGTTTGTTGGTTTTTGATTTTTAGCAGACTGCAAATGCTTATAGATTTTTGTCTGCATCATGAACTGGGGCCAGCAACTTCATTGTTGAAAGGAGTCCTCTAAAAATATGAGCTGTCTGTATGCAAATGCATAAATATTAAGCATTCCAATAGAAGGCTGTTCTCCTATCAGTTATTTTTGGATCTCACCAAAGCGATTATACAACTAAATTAGGACAGATTTCATAAAAGAGGTTTTCATATTAAGTGTCCTTCACTATGAGTGTTTTTGGAAAGCCCAGTAAAATGAGCTTTATTTGTAATGGCTGTTTGCATTTTCACCAAATGTTTGTATGAGTTACTGAATAACTGGACATATTACTGCATTCTGTGAAACTGCAGTGAAAGCAAGGTCAGGTCTTGTGTGACTTCCCCTTGTACTAATGAAAATGGATGGGTAACCTCTTACGTGTGAGGATGGAAACGCTCTCTGCTGCATTATCCACACTTATGTAAAACGCATGCAGTATTAGTAATAAGAGGAGCATATAAAGAGCTAAAACTGGGAGCAATTGACCAACATTGTTTTTATGTCATAGCTTTAAAAGTTGTGTTTTGACACGTGGGAGAAGGGGGAGGTATGCAGGAAAAAAACCCCTCCTATCTAGCAGTAACGAAAATGAGTCAAAATCAGAAATGTCAGAAGGCAAGTGGGAACCTCATGATAAACCAAATAAAAACAATATCCCAGCAGGCAGTAGATGCATTTTGTGCAAGAGTTTCAAGGGTTTTTTTTACAAATGCCTGAGCTCTGCTAACAAAAGCAATTGTTGCAATGAGCAATTGAAAAGCTGTTAAATTGAAATTACTAGAGCCAATTTTAGCAGTTTCAGAATGGTGCATCTTGTTTTGGTACCTGCTGCCAATTAGCTAAGAAAACAATTAGAGGTAATTACAAAAAACTTATTAGAAGCACACTTAGGGTGGGACGTACCATGTTTTTCAGAGATAATTCAGTTCTGTATCGCTGTCAGAATAGCATAGATATTTGATTTGCATTCTGAAAGTCATCAAGTCACTACGTGAAGTTGGAGAGGTTTTTCCATAGTGAAAAGCAAAATTCTCTGCCACATTTTATATAGATGGAAATTGAACAGTTTAGAAAGCAGAGTAGTACAAAACAGCCCAGAGAGAAAGGGGAGATTTGTGGAGTCATCCAGAGAGGACAGTTAGGAAAGCTGAAGACCGAAGTGTAATTTGAAGATATGACATAAAGGCAAAGTTAATTAGCATGACAGTCTCATGTCTGTTGTTTAAATGAAAAAGAAAAAATACTGAAGAAAGCTCTTGGATTTTGATCTTGTTGGTAACTAACTGCAGGTGACAAAAATGTGAAAACCTGTGACAAAGTTGGTTCCTCTTCTGTCCAGAGGTAGTAGCAAAGTGTGATAACGGTGTTGAGGAAAGGTCCTGTCTCCCTCAGAGCTGAGGGAAGCAGGCTCTTACCATACTGCAAAAGGAATTTGACTTCTTCAGTACTCCTTTTATTCGATGCAAAATGCTTAAAATCGCCATCGAAACCATGTGTGTAAGAAAATAGGAAGTGCTGAGGAGAATTGGCTTTTCCCAAGTAGAGAGGGAGAGGGAGCCTTTCACCGCAGTTTAGGAATCCAAGAGGGTAGTGCAAAATGATCCCGTTCCCAAAGCCTTTCCCCAGCCTCTGCCTATGGCTACAGACTTATTTTTATTGGCAAGTGTGTTATGTATTTCTAATGTGGTATTTTAATATGAAGTGTGTCCATTGGGTGATGCAGGCAGAATGATTTTGTTTCCACAGCCTAACTTTGCCCATGGTCTAGCTTCTCTGCAAATCCCCCATGGTGCGACTGTGAAACGCATGTACATCTACAACGGAAACAGCCTGCAGGATACCAAGTATGTACAGCAGCTGCTTGTGGGTTCTAGCTGTTGACAACACTTTTCTTCTTCATTTATGTAGGTGTTTTCAAATACTGTCTATATTTACAAGAAAACTCTTTTTTTTTTTTGAGTTCAGTTTGGGTCTCTTACAAATTTCGTAGTACAGAATGCTTTTTGATGCTAATCTCTTTCAGATTTCTGTAGCCGTTATTCTCAGCCTTTATAATCAAAAAGGATTTTCATTTATGTTGTGATAACTTTGGCCTGGCTCAGCTGCTGGAGACCATCTCATTTGAGCTGAAAATAAATTCATAAAGGAGGGAACGTAGTAAGAGATACAGTTGAGCTATTTTTATTGTATGGTAATGATCTCTGCCGAGACTGTTCAAACTCTTTGTGGTGGGAAATCAGTCATTTTGCAGTGTGTTGGTACATTGAATGCCTCAGCAGGCTCTTGCTGAAGGTCTTTAATTCTTTTGCCGTATAAAAACAATAAAATATGTTACTGTATAGCCTGTATATTTCCTGGTTGACCTTGTTATGCTGATAAAAATAAATCATTGTGCTTTAGTACCAATGGATTAGTTGTATTTGGATAGTTAATATGGTAATAATTGCTAAAATGGTATCAATGTTTCTAAAGATATTATTTCTAGGGTTTCTTACTCAAAGAAAAGAATCTCTAAAATCTTCCTTTTAGCTTAGAAATATGAAAACTGGCAAGGTAGTATCTTATGTGCAGAAGATGCACATAACTGCCAGGTGCAGTTATCCACTGGTATGTTAATTTTCTCAGGAGGCAGAGATAAATTATGACTAAGAGCCTTGTTTATCCAGGCATCGTCTCCTAATTAGAAATAAGTGCACTTCAGAAAATGTCGTTTGTGCCCGTCTGAGTCATTGTGGGCTCTAGTGGAGGCACTGGTAGGTGTCCCAGGGGAACACTGGTGTGTGAGCTCAAACCCTCATTCTTAGCCCAGGTCATTCACTTAGAGGAGAAATTCACATAAGCAGGAAAAGTGATTTTTAAAGGAAAAAAGCATGAAGCAGCAGCTCTTCCACTGAATATATCTTTATTGCTGTTGGCTATAATTATTTCAAATACTACTGTAATTCAAGGACTTTGGTAAAGCTGCAGAACTGCTTGTGGAATACAAGATGCATTCATGGTTTGAGATAATGTTGATCTGTTCCTCTTTCTTTGAAGATTAAGTTAATCCAATACCTCTTTTATTCTTTATTTTTGCTTCGTGTGCTTGGTTTTAGGGCTCCCTTGATGCCTCCCAGCTGTTTTCTCGGTAACGTGTACGCAGAGAACGTCGATGTTCTGCGAGATGGAACTGGACCCTCAGGTTTACGACTTCGCCTCCTCACTGCAGGTATTGGCAAGGCGAGGAATATCCAACAGGTTTCCTCCCTGAGAAAAAGGGACAAACTTGTCTAACCTAGGCAGAAGCTATTTATGATGCTTTTACGGGGGGTTTCAGTGGTTTATGTACCTTGTTTTGACCTATCAGAAACAAAATTTAAAAAAAAAGGAACACGAAGATGAGTCTGTCCATTACTGCATTTCCCTGGGCTTGGAGAAGTCCCTGCAGCCTGTGGAGGTTGTTTTCTTATAGCTCCAAGTTCACAGAGCCTGATGACAACAGTAAATTTGCTTCTAGGTGTATGTATACAGAGCAAAGCAGATGCAAGTATGTCACAGGAAAAAAGTTACGAATTAAAAAACGAAAGTGGGTCCGCATGCATTTTTTTAGATTCTAGTGACCTGTATTGTGCCAATATTTTTGGGATGAATTCTAGAAGACTTTAACAATATAATGCTATCAAGAGATACAAATGCTGTAATGTTAGATTTCACTTCTTAGATTCAATCCAGTGTTTGTTGGCTGTCAGAGACCATGCTGGAAGTGATACAGGTTGATAAATAACTTGTCTTTGTTTGTTCTTTCGGAGACAGGCGAGCCTGAGGCATTAGAGGAAGCTATATTGCCTGCAGAGCAACCTTGCTCAGTGACAGTAGCTTAAGAATTGATAATATTCTTAATAAAAACCAGATTTTTCTTTAATGACTTCCATTAGCAGTCCCTAATTCTATTCTGATTATTAGCACCATCTATGTTGAGGAAATATTTTGAGTACATTCCCAAGATGCAAAAGCTGAAGGGGGAAAAGCACAAAAATTGTCGATGAAGAATAAGAAATGATGAACAAAAATGCAGCAGGTGTGTTAAGTTACTTTGCTTCTGTATTTTTCAGAGGAAGATAATGGAGAGCTGCCTAGGACAGGGAACATTTACCCTCGTGTACTAGGGAAGGCGTTAGCTATAACATCCTAGTAATATAGATGATTTTGAAAAATTGGACACCTCTAAGGTAGAGTGTCGCACTTAATTAACATGCATATCTTCAGTTTTAATGAAATGTTGGTAATTAAAATAGTTATTAAAATATTAACTTATCTTTCAGATGAAAGAAACTTGCAAGAAGTTGCCTTCTTGACATGTAAAATATTAACTTATCTTTCAGATGAAAACTTGCAAGAAGGCAATCTTGGCATGCGAGGTTCCTACCATGCTAAAGTTTGCAGAAGCTCCTTTGCAGAACATATTATACATATGTTCTAGCCTTAGTTTCTCTGCAAGTCTATTAATTTGAGTAAATTGTGCTCAAAAAATCAAGGGTGGCTTAATGGGATTTTTTCTTTTCTGATTTATTTCAATTGGGAAATAACTGCATGAATAATGTGTAGTGAGAAAAGCTAAATGTGTCCTCAGAGCACATCCTTTGTTTTGCAATTGCATGCATATGTGTGCATGCATTCTAGAAAATGAAGTCACCACATCCCAAAGAGCAAATTGGGTCACAGAACATAAGATCTTTTGTTTCTTAACGTCTAGTAATGTATGTCAGCTATTCATCTAGGTAATGGCACTTCAGTAAGATTCACTTCTACCAAACATGGTTTACTGTGAATGCACTTACTGTTGATTTAATAAGCGATAAAACTCTTCAAAGGAGAATTTGAGTTTTCTCATACAATTAATATGTATGAAGAGTTCAATTTTGAGGGCTTTTTTCATCTGCAGGGAGCTTGCTTAGGTTACATGTCACTTTATAGCTTTGGAAACACATCTCTAGTTCCTAAAGTTAAGTTTTTTAAGGACAGGAGTCGTTCTTGGTGCTTAATGGTAATAAGTGGCTGGTCAGGTTGAGACTGACTGGGAAAGCAAGTCACATTTTTTGAAAGGCAAAGAAATGGAGATAGCATTGCTGAAGCTGGCAGCTAAGATGGGGATCTGTTCCATAATCAGTAAATGCAATGCTTTGATTAGAAATATTGGTTATTTTGAACTGTTGCAAAAATAAAGAGTTAAATTTAGTTCAGCAGTGGTGTTTGATGAATGTAGCTTTTCCTTTTGTGATATATAGAGAAATGTTAAACTTCTTCAATGGTTTGCTGATATATCTCCTGATGAGCAAAATATAAAGGTGAAGTTGTCTGTTTTCCAGGTTGTGGCCTGGGCGTTTTAGCCGATGCCAAGATGCGGGTATTTGAGCGCTGTGTGTACTTTGGTGATTCATGCCAGGATGTGCTCAGCACTTTGGGATCTCCACACAAAGTCTTCTACAAGTCTGAAGATAAGGTAGGGAAATCCATTCAGGCGTGGGATTTTGTTTCTGAGCCATAGCAACTCTTAGTTAATTTTAAAAATCGTATTTCATATAAATGTCCACATATGTTTCAGTCCTTTCCTGATGTTTTTGTTTGACAGTATATGATGGTTTGATGGTATATGAGTAAATCTTCAGATAACTAAATAAAAAAATCTGGTCTGTTGTTATGTCAAGCAGCTAATGGCCTTGTCATGAAATACAGCATCTTGCATGTTTAAACATGAGCTGTAGTACGAAATGAGACCATGGCAATTGGACTGTAATACTAATACTGTTCATGCCTTAATATTTGTAAGGATTGTAAAACATGCCTGAAAAACATGTGTTTCTTGCAGATGAAAATCCATTCGCCCTCTCCCCATAAGCAGGTTCCATCAAAGTGCAATGACTACTTCTTCAATTACTTCACACTTGGAGTGGTGAGTGGGAAGCTGCGATAAACAAATGTGTTCAGAGCTTTGATTTGGCTGCACAGCAATCCTTTCAGAATGCCAAAAGCTGTGGGGATGAGAGGCTGTGCAACTCCTGTGGCCTAAAGAATCTCCAAATATGAGAAGCACGTTTTCTCTAGCGCTTGTGAATTCCATCAGTAACATTTTATCATCTCTAGCAGTGGATGGGGGGCTTTTTATGTTCATGTTTTGGCATTCTCCTAGGTTTTCTCCATCTTCCATGCCCGATGCATAGAAATGCAAGTTTTCATTTCTGAAATCCATAAGCAGAAAGACAATTCCTTCTTAGAAAATTAGTCAACATAAGCAAATAAAGCAGCGCAGCTGTGGTTGCATGCTGAAAGAACTCTGAATTTATTTGAATTTACGAATAGTCTTAAATATTACTTTTCATAGGTCCATTCAGTTCCCACTGGATAGGTATTGCTATGTTCATATGCTATTATTTATTGCTATGTATATGTGTTATAATAACTAAGCTGGGGTCAGTCTGGGGAAAGCCACTTTCCATTATTTTTTCCTATTTGTCTGTGTTTTTATTGTTTAACAGGATATTCTCTTTGATGCAAACACTCACAAGGTTAAGAAATTTGTCCTGCATACAAATTATCCTGGTCATTACAACTTTAACATGTGAGTCTAAAGAACTGATCTGTTTAAAAATTTTATGTTTCCTATATATAGTTCCTGTATTTTTTCCTCAAGCGTCTTCAGTGTATCTGCTAGCCAGTGGAGATTTCAGGAATTATTATTAACACTTCTTGTTTGCTTTTTACTTTTAAATGCCTTTATATTGTCATTTTTCCATGAAGCAGTAAATGAAGTAAGATGGTTGTTGGTCCAGGTATAATCTTCAATTTATTTTGTTTGAACAAACTGGACGTTAGCAAATGTGTGCATTTGCTGGTAGGTGGCTGCTGCTTTTTTCGCTGTCATTATTTCAGTTAGTGACCTAGTTTGCCCTCATGCTTCTGAGCAAAGTGTTTTCAATGCTTATTAAATGTAAACTCTTTAGTAGAAGAATGTGAGTTTTGTAAGGGATAAGTGGTCGAACGTCTAAATAAAGAGGATGCTTTCAGGCAGTTGGCGTTAGTATCAGAGAATGAGAGAGAAATCTATACTATTGTTTCTAACCTGAACTTTTATCTATCCACTCAATATACCAGCAGAGTAATTTGAACTGAGGACCTTTTGTATCCTTTAGAAAATGGTGTTGCAACATTTCCAGGCTGCTGCCTTTTTTGATGTTGAAAATAAAACGTTAGAATTTTTCTCCTTAATCCACTAGCACTGAGACTTTCATTTTCATGTTATTATTCGTGTGGCTTTTCATTAAACTGGGTGTTAGGAGTTGTGAGTTTGCACTATGTGGTTAATGTTGGCTCCTCTGTTTGCTAATAGCTTTATGATTTGCACTTTCTAGCTACCATCGCTGTGAATTCAAGATTCCACTAGTCATTAAGCGAGGTGAGTGGTTCTTCTGTCCTCCTGCTGCAGAGGGTGTGGAGCACAACACAGGGCTGGGTCCTGCTCCCAGCTTCTTGTTATGCAGGGGCTGGGGTTCCCCATGTGTTTAGATGTGCCCAGCTCTGTGCGTGTGCATAATCTCAATACACTAGAAAATTGATTTACAGCTCAGCCAAGAGAATAAGCATGAAGGTCTCTTCTCTTTTTAAATCCCTTCCCCTAAGGCTATTATGCAGTAGTTCAAATGCTTTCATTCCTCATTGTTTTTATTCATCTCAGGTAGCACCGTGCATGGATGCATCTGATTTCATCAACCTGTATGTTCTTCAGCTTATGTTCAGGCCTTGTAACAAGTTGAAAATTAATGTTACAAAACTTAGGAAGAGTCCATCTTCTTCCATCTGGTGGCAGTGCATGATGCAATTCTATTTATTCCTTTCTGCAATTTACTTCCAGGCCATAAACTGGTGATCAGCACTAAGCTGCACAAACACTGAACTCTTTCACCCTACAAAGATTGTGTTCGTTAGGCAGGAGGAAAATAGACAGGAGCTTTCAATCAAATTAAAGACCATATGCTACGTTTGGCCTCTTTAGTGTCTAGCTTCGTTTCCACTGCTTCAGAGAAGATGCTTTCAATATGCTAAAGTTCCCAGAGTATCTCTAAAACAATGCTGGAAACTGCCAACAAGCAATTCATTTTGAAGATTGTAAGCACAAATATGATGTTGTCCCCATCTGCAGCTTTTTGTTGTTCAACAGAGGGGTTGGTTTCTTTTCCCATGGGGTAACTTTTTTCCAAACTCTCACTTTTTCCCCCCATTCTGATTTCAGCCCTGAGTCTCGAGCTGTCAGTCTCGCCAGCTTCCTTTCCAAACATAACCTAATGTTTGGACTGGATGAGCGGCACGTAGTGGCATCTCAATTAAAATCTATTCTAGGAAGGTTAATACAATGCAGAGATAGGTAGTTTCTTTCTCCTTGATATTCTTAGGTGTAAGATTGCAACTTAAGCATTCTTATATATAGGATAAGAAGTTGCTTGAAATAGGCTGGTGTGTTTAATCAAGGCAGCTGGTGTTTAAATGATGCTGTTGACTTTTTTTTTTGGCTAGTAGATGTCAGTAAACTTGTATGTGAACTGATCAGAGGTTTGTATGTCTCCCTCTATCTGCATCACCTACAAAGGATTGTATAAGAAACTTTTCTGGTCAAGCACAAATTACAGATTTTTTTTTCTTTATTTCACAGATAGTGCTGATTCACAGACTGAAACATGTACAACATACAGCAAGGTAAGTCTTTGCAGAACTGACAAACAGTACTCTAATACTGAACTTTCCTGTGAAATCAAGCAAAGGCTGTTGTGAGGGGCTGCAGTTCCCTCTGTAAAGGTGTGTAAGAGGATACTTTGCTGAGGTTTCCAACAGGTATACAATTTTTAAGGTATCCCTGAAAACACTGCAAGACTTCCAACATATTCTTTTCCCATAGGATCACAGAATTTATATTTATTTGACCCTGACTCAAAGCAATTTTGAGACCAAAAAAAAAAAAAGAGAATTAAACTTGGAAGAATTTCCTAGCCCTGATAAGTTCTGTTACTGGCTTCAGTCACAAATACTTTCCATATTACTCATGCCACAAACAAAAATGTACCTGACTCTCTTCTTAGATAAAAAGAAGATTTCCTGTAGGTCATTTTAACAGAAAGTCCTTGATATATTTACAGTGGGAGAGTATTCAAGATCTTCTGGGGCACCCCGTAGAGAAGCCAGTGGTACTACACAGGTAAGGAGTTATTTTTGTTTTGTTTGGCAGGGCCTGCTTGGATAAGAGAGGATGAGTTTAGGGAGAATAAGGGTACTTTTTGTGTACTAGGTACTATTAAAAATTACACAGTGTCTTTGCTGTTAAAGTTCCAGACTTTGTATCCATTAACGAGACAAGATCACTGCTCTCTGAGGATATGAAGGCTGACATGCAGAATGAAAACATTTCCAAAATTCCTTGAACTGTAAAATCCAGAGAGCTAAGCAGCATATAAATGAGTATCTCCATTTATCTGTAACAAACAGTGTAGATTATTTACGGTATAATACTACATGTTTCAACAGCACAATATCAGACAAGACGGTGTCTAATACATATGGTCGTCTCTTTGAAGGAGACTGCAGTCTTGCTTTTATGAACATACAGTTGTCTCTATTTGAAAATAAAATAGCATGCTTAAATTTGCTCGATTTCTGCAGGCAGTGAGCTGCCTGTTGGGTAAAAGAGGTGTTACCTGTTAGCAAAATTACTATTTTATATTCTTTGTCTCATATGAAGCAATTTACAGTAATTTTGTCTCAGAACTAGTTTAAGTCATGGGTTCTGAGAAAAGACTGCAGAAATTTCAGAAATAGCTAACAGGTTGTGGTTTTTTTGTCAGACTTTCACTACAGTTTTGAGTTTGACTTGGGTGGAATTATTGTTTCTTGTGTTTTCCCCTTGCATTACTTGCTTTGAGCTGGTGAGCAGAACCACATAAAGTAAAGCTGGGGGTGAAACAATGATGCGTATCACCCTTCTGTTTTACATCTGTGCAGCAGAAGATAGTTCAACCAGGATCTGTTTCACTGAACAGATCTCTACTCTCGATGGACAATCTGAGAAATTGCACAGTTAAAAGAAAGGCCAAAAGCACTGGTGCTGGATAATGTAGGCTTACTGTTTTTTGATCAGAGGCTTTTATCCCAAAAAGATGTTGTAGCCTACCCTGTATTAATGTTTGTTTGTTCTTTCCTAGAGAAGCTTCTGACTTTCACATATCCCTTTTTTCCCCTCTTTTCCATTAAGGTCGTCCTCTCCGAACAACACTAACCCATTTGGATCAACTTTTTGCTTTGGATTGCAACGAATGATCTTTGAGGTTAGCAGAAAAAGTTTCATATTTGCTGAGCAAGAGAAGATGAGGCAGAGTTAGCTCTTACTGCTTTTGACTGGCTCCTTATTTCCCATTTTAAGAGTGGCTGCATTTTCAGGGATTGTTGGCAGAACGGGGCAGCTGTGCAGCCTCTCCCCTAAGGCTGTACGTTTGCATGGTAAAGCTGGCACTTGCACGGTGTCTTCTGGGGCTTGCGCCAGCGGGAGATGCATGCGGGCAGCTCCGAGGGCTTGGGGAGCTGCTGGTGCTTCAGTGTGTCGTGGAGACCTACAGACCAGCTGCAGGACCTAGCCAAGACCTTTCTGGTGGTTTCTTGCTTTGGTTATTGCAATATCATCGTTCAGGCGGATCAATATTCCATATTTTTTGCCATTTTGACTCTTCTAAGCTCCTTTTTGATGTGCGATTCTTTTAATTTCCCTTTTCCCCTGCTGTCCTTTTGCAGGTGATGCAGAATAATCACATAGCTTCTGTCACTCTGTATGGCCCCACGAGGCCCAGCAGCCAGTTGAGAACATCGGATCTTCCCCAGTGAGCATCCCCTGCAAAGTCAGCTACTCTAAATGCTACAGAATTAGTACAGCGTGCCTTGATTTGCTGCCACTTATAATATGGAAAGCACGTTTTTTTTTTTCTTTTTTTTTGTTTTTAAATAAGCCTTTCCACCCAGGAACGGTGTGGAGGGGCAATTTTCTCAACCCTTCATCATGGGGCATGGAACTTTTGATGGAGGAAAGCAGCTTAGGTGCCTGTGCCGTCGTTTATTCCTCTCAGTTGCCCTCATCCTATGCAGCACAGACGCGGAGAGACTGTCTCCCCTTCTCGGATGGCAGAAGGGGAAAGTGGAAGAGGAGCACGTAATAACTGCAAGAGTTAGAAGCACAAACTTTCTGAGCCTTGGAGCATCTGGAAGCAGGTATTGATTTTAGTCTGTTTGTGTTACTGTATTGATGTGGTGGTCACATTTTAAGAAAAACGTGTGTGTGTATATATAGATATAAACACATCGGTATTTCTGTGGCTTAGGACATTGTACCAAGTGTGACAAGGGTGTATATATGTCCATGATTTCAGGCACCACATCTTTGTGTAACTTCAAACCAAGCAAGTAGCATGTGCATAATACTTGGTTGTAACATTTGCACTACATACACTTTAAGTACTTGATAAACGTTTATCTTCACTGAGGAGCATCTGTGTACTGGGTGTGAGTGGGGTGTGATGGTTATTTAATGTACGCTGCGCATAAAGCTTATTTATACAGTGGATCAAATTAATCCACCTTCCTGCACTAATAATTACTTGTTGTGCTGAAACAGATTTTTTTTTTTTTTCTGCCATGACTGGTTTACTAATTTTTCATATGCAGCTTCCAAAAAAAAAACATTCTGGAAGAGGATATTTCTATGACTGAATTATATTTTTAGTGAAGACGTTTGATACAATTTTTCTTACTGCGGAAAAATTGGAACGAGAATTAGTGTTGCCTCATTTGCATCCATTGCA